AAATGAGCCCAGATGCTCTAGAAAGTGTTTGAATTAAGGCAGGAGCTACAGGCCCCTGTGAGACGTCCTTCAGACTGAAAGTATGTTGTATCATCTGCGAGTTGCTAATAAGCACAGCTTTGTCCACAATCTGAATACCTGTATATTTGAAGGGTTATATTTGATAAAGTAATTTAAGAGCTGAGTAAACAATAAGAGATAAGGAGACGCCAGTTAGCCGTGTTTAATACCACCCTGCAAATAAGATCTTGGAGAAATGCCTGAGTTCGGTTTCATAGAGCAGTTACAGCTTTTATACCTCGTCTTAATAAAATGACAAAAATAATATCCAAATCTCTCTAAAGCAGGGAAAATAAAATGATGCTCCAGCGTATCGAATATTCATAAAAATCTAAGAGAATGAAGCTTTTATCCTGGCAGTAATCAATAATCAATGAGCTATAAAACCAGCCTGATACTGTTAGATACATGTCTGTGTCTCATGAAGCCACATTGAGTCTTATCAATAATATTATTTAAGACAGCTTTAATATATTTCACCAAAATCACTGTGTTTAAAAGGCAGTTTGGGGGGCAGTTGTTAGTAGAACGGGGGTCCTTCTGGACTTTAGTGTCAGTAAACCTTGAGTTGAGGTGGAAGCTTTAACGTTTGGAAACATTCTGTAAATAATTCTAGCAGAACCAGAGCGAGACGGTCAGAAATGTCCTACAGAGTTCTGAAATTAGGCCGTCCCTCCAGGGACCGGTTGGGTTTTAAGCACTCGATTGCACAGATAACATCTCCCAGTGTAACTGACCTATCACAGACTGTATACACTGACAAATGGACTCATACATTCAGATTCATATCATTTACTATAAAAATTGAAACAAAGCTTTGCTGTTTTCTTTTGATCATTTGTACCAACTCTGTCACTATTTAATCCCTGAACTGCACTATTTCAAATATACAATAAGCTGTTTTGCTCGTCCTCCTCCAACCATCCTCCTCTGGATCTTACAAGAGCTGTTCAGCCTTTGTCTTATACACGTCATCCAACTTAGTTTGAAAATTTCTTCAATCTAACTTCTCATCCTCTGTAAGATTGTCTGAGTTTTTGTGTAACCATGGCAGCATTTGAAATAATTCTCTTCATTGTTTTTTCATACAAGCCAAAAACTCCCATCCTCTCTTAAAAACTGCTGCTTCATATTTTAGAAGCTCCCAGTTAGTCAAAACATCTCATTTACAGCCTTGTGTCAAAAACGCTGTAGATCAACTTTGACTTATAATATTTTAGTTATTTAGTTTCCAGTGTGATCCCAGCCCCCTAGTGATGTTGGCAGAACATAACGTAATCTGTATTGATGTAGCTTTGTGATCTGTTAATGGAGTAGTAAGAATATAAACTTTGATTTGTTAATTCAAACAACTGGAAATCAGCTACAAGTCGATACGTGACGTCTCCTTTTGTTACTCCACGTAACGAGGAGGCCATCTGTCTAATGAACGATTTCACGTTATTTTAAAATCACCTCCAAATACAATTAAAGCATTTACTGACCTCATGATCCACAAAGTGAGTGTCCAAAACTTGAAACAACTCATTTTCCGGTCTTGAATTGTAACCATGAATGTACGGAAGAAGAAAAACAGCATCTTTAACTTCGACGACCAAAATAACAATGACCAGATTTGGACCTTTTTACCATGTATTTACTCTGTAGTCCTGGAAACAAGAAGAAAAGTGCTGTGACTCTGTGTGAAGATCAGAGACTCAGACGAGTGTTTTAAAGGCGGCGCTGCAGAAGGTTCGTCCACTCTACTGACCATTAAAGGGATTCTGAGAAGAACTAGTTTATTGGAAAAGACCAAAATGATCAGAACAGTTAAAATAAGAAGAGGATGACCAGCTAAAGGGTGGACGGAGACAATCAGAGGAATCATGATCCAGCCATTCAGAAGCCTGAAGACCCAAACAGAAGACAGGACATTCTGGAGAAACACCATCCATATGGTCACCAGGAGTCTTGACAGCACTTAATAACATTAATAGTAATACATTGAGGGGAAACAAGTATTCAGACTTTTGTTTTTGTTATTTAATAAGCTTCTAGTGCACAAATCCTCTGATTTACACACAGAATGTCTGTTGACCTATGAATGTGAATAAAAAGTATGTATTCAAAAGCATAAACAAAAACAAAACTGATGGTGAGGAAAGAACTGAGACACTATATTAAAATAAACATGGAGCTGATAAAATGGATGATGAGGAACAAGGAGGTGGTCATAATGTTGTGGCTGATTGGTGTATTTAAATATCATCACTGGTTTGCTGCTCAATATGTAAGATTCTGTGATTTTGTGTGATTTGGGTGGAGTTGTACTGAGAACACTGTGATCTGATCAATACTATCAGATATTCCTGATCACTGAGCTCATCACTGCACTGTGTACAGTAAAGTTAAACACTGTTCTTATAAAGTACCTTATGGTCATATTTAACGCTGTGTTTCCTCATCAGGTTCCTGAATAAACTCTGAGTGTAAAACAGTGTTTTAACAGCAGCTGATCTCACTGCATATTTCAGACACCACTGACTCTCTCTGATTCTCTCAGACTCACTCTGACTCACAGTGACTCACTCTGACTTGCTCTAATTCACTCTGACTTACTCTGTCACTCTGACTCACTTGGACTCACTCTCTCACTCCCTCTCACTCCCTCTGACTCCCTCTGACTCAGTCTGACTCGCTCTGATTCTCTCAGACTCAGTCTGACTCACTCTGAGTCACTCACAGTCCAGAGCGGATGGCTGGATGGTTTAAGTCATTAGTCAGTTCAGTGAAAGATCCACCCAGAGGTGAGCCCTGCTGTGTTAAACCTGTTACACAACTTACTGATTCTGATTTTTAAGCAAATCATATATAAACCTGTAATTTGTCCTCTGATGTAGAAATAGTGAAGTACTCGGTCGGTGTGGCAGGAAAAACACTGAACTCTCATCAGGACTTCATAAGAATTCTGTCTGTAACCCCTGAAAGAGGCGCCAGTGAAGGAGTGTGACGTCATTTCTGGACATACTGTTGGTGAATGGAGAAGGAACATTACAGCAGCACTGCAGAAAGTTCAGAATTGATCAGGTATCCATTTTCAGAATCAGTTTATTATGAATCAGTACTTTGGAAGGTTTTTAAGGTACCATATTTTGGGATATAGCCAGGGATGGGGAGTAGCTAAGTAGCGCGCTACTTTTTGTAGCTAACTACAAATATGCAGCTAATAGCTGTAGCTGCTACAGTTGTATGAAATGTAAACTTTTCACTACAATTTCGCTACAGGCTTCAGTCAATCTACACAAAATCTGAACCACAGAACGCGGCCGTTAACGGGGCTGGTGGCGACTGTGCAATCCTGACTGAGCCGCGGACAGTTCAAGCAAACGGTCACGCACTGATCACCCCTTATTACAGTAAGCTTAGCTCAGGAGTCGCAACCCAAATGTTAAGAAGAGCCATTTTGTCCAAAAATGAAACCACCATGGGAGCCGCAACACTTTATATCCGTTTTACCATCTTAACTGTAAATAAGTCTCAGTATGTGCTGATGTGCTGGAACAAGCTAACAAATATATAAACGAAAATGCAGACTTACTCTGCTTTAACCTTTAGGTCAGTTGTAGCCGCTTTTCTCGCATCTCAGTCAGGAAACTTTTATGCAAAAGTGCAACAGTTTCTTGTAAAATGTCTCTCAATGCTCGACTTTTTATGAGGCTGAAGTCGCTTCTCATTCGCCAGCTTCTCATTCGCCAGCTTCTCATTAGAATTGTCCAGTTCCACCTTAAATGGAGCCTGAGGTGCTGGACTGTACTGCTGAAATGGGACAATTCAAACGAGAAACTGACATCACGACTTGGTGTTTGTCAGTTGCAGATTAAACGTATCAGGAAACCAGCTGGAGTGATTATAAACGCTAGTAAGTCCATTTGTCTCCAAATTATCAGTGTTCGTCTTAAGTCTCTCTGTGCAGTTTCGTTAGCTACTAGGCGAGATTGTTGTCTGTGTTGCTATGGTGACCAGCAGTCAAAGTCAAGTCAAGTTTATTTATATAGCGCTTTTTACAACGGGTGTTATTACAAAGCAGCTTTACAGAAAAATCCGGTCTGAGCCCCCATGAGCGTCGCCAATGGAGACAGTGGCAGGGAAAACTCCCTAAGAGTAAGAGGAAGAAACACTGAGAGGAACCAAGACTCCAAAGGGGAACCCATCCTCCTCTGGACCACACTGGACAGTAACCAGCGTCAGTATAAAATATTATAATGCAGAAACGGGAAAAACAGGAGGAGCAACAGTTAATAAGATAGTTTGAGTTCATGCAGCAGCAGGAGGGTCAGTTCATGAGGGTGAGGAGCAGGTCAGCCAGCAGAGATGGAGCTCTGGTGGCTCTGGCAGCTCTGGGGGCTCACTTGTGGCGACTCAGGCAGATGTCGCTTAGGGGCTCAAATAAATGGAGAGAGAGAGAGAGAGAGAGAGAGAGAGAGAGAGAGAGAGAGAGAGAGATTGATGAACAGGACAGGTCAGGTCAGTTTATGGAGAGATATTAGTAAGTTAATAGTGCAGCAACTGATATTAGTAAAATGCTTGTGCAAACAGTTCAGTTTTGAGTCTAGTTTTAAATGTAGTGTCTCTGAATTTTGGGGCTACGTAGGAAAATGCTCGACCCCCAATTTTTGAACATTGTGTATGTAATAAATACATTTGCAATATATATATATATGTAGCAGGTGTAATAATTTACTTTAATTAATTCATTTACATATATTTATATACATTTTTTATTTAAATTTAAATTACATTATTTGTTATTAGTTTCACTTGAAATCCCTTCCTTAAGTTCTACCTTGCAAGTTCTTAACTGTTCTTCATGGCTTATGGGAGTACGTATGTGTTTTGTCCTTTCTCAGCACCTGTAGTTTTTCTCCCTTTGTCGTGTTGGCGCTGTTTTTTTTCAGTCTGCAGTGAACTTGACTGAGAGAGGTGCGTTTGTGAAGTGCTCTGTTCTAATAACTCATTGTAGTGTTTTAAGATGGAGTTTTTGTGAGTATATTTGTGTATTTTACCACTATGAATATAGCGACATGAACTACAGAGGTGCAAGTAACGTTTTTGAGCTATAATATTTTTTTTTAGTAGAGCGATAAAATGGTTAATATGCTTAGTGTTTTAGCTCCCCCCTGTGGTAGTTGAAGGGCGTTTTGCTTCCTTGCCTTTGTGCCTTATATTCGTATTGTTTCTTTTGCTAGGCATTATCTGAGAAGCTATTGACGCCAATTTATCATTCTGCTTTTTTCTAAATGATTTGTACACAGGTGAGTACTCCCATAGCCTTGTTTGAAACGTTAGTTAAAGTGCTTATTTTCAGTGGATGTACTGTGTGGTTAAAATGGCGGACGCCATGTGAGTTTTTTTATATTTTTTCTCTTTTTTTTTTTCTTTTCCCCCTTTTTCTGTTGAATAAATAATTCTAGATACACCTATTCATCAGCTGATTTATGGTAGATTTATAAGAAATGCAGAGGGGAAACCTCTGCGATGTCATGTTAAGAAAACCTACTGAGTTTGCACTACAGTTTTATTATGTATATGCTCAGTTGTATGTATCTGTGTCAGAGTGTGTTCCATGGTAATATAGTGTGTTTTTAATATTGAAAATTATTACTGATTGGAAATTAATGTGACACATAATAATTACTGCTTATGGCTTACAGTCGGTTTAATAACTATATGCCTATATAGATATATATACTATTATATGTATGTATTTTTTTTTTGTGCAGCTGAGTCTGCAGTGAACCTGACTGAGAGAGGCATTATCTGAGAAGCTATTGACGCCAATTTATCATTCTGCTTTGTTCTAAATGATTTGTACACAGAAATACACACAGACTGAAGCTGATATCCGGTGTCCTGAGTTTTATTAGAATCCCATACACAACGCAGATGACGGGGGAGTAGCAGAAGGGGAACTCTGGCTACATACATATATATATATATATATATATATATATACATATATATATATATATATATATATGTGTATATATATATATATATATATATATATATATATATATATATGTATGTATATATATGTGTATATATATATGTGTATATATATATATATGTATATATATGTATATCTATATATATATATATATATATAAAATTTCTTTTTTTTTCAGCTAGTAAATACACTGTCAGAAATGAAGGTTCTATGCAGGAACATTTTTCGTTCATCAAAGTACAAACAGTGTAAATGTTCCTGCAAAGGTTCAACAGTGGTTTTAAGGTCTGATTGTGAGAACATATCATTTAGTTATGTTCCCTGACTAAAGGTACTGAGATGGACCTATGAGGGTTCCACCCCAGTGACGAGAGGAGAAAGGTTCATGCGCCTCTTAACGCTGCTGACGTCAGAAGTACGAAAGTGTGTCGAATTTCGAATATAAAACCGTGGTTTCATGTTTTTGTGCTTTATTTCCCGATATTTTCCACGGCCATCGATCGCTTTGAACCTAATATATTCCCTATATTCCCTGTTTGATTGTTGTATAGATACGTGTTGGTTACTTCACTGGTTAGCCACATCCATATGCTTGCTCCACACACGTTACTGTTCCCACACTCACCTCTAGACCAGCCGTTTGTGAGAAAGTAACGTTTGGGGGCTCGTCCAGGACAGATCTGTGAGCTGTGTGTTGGTGTGTGGCTTGGCACTGGTGTGGTAGCTATATGTTTGCGAGCAATGTGGCAACTTTTGATTTACAGACGTTTGTTGCTTCACCTAGTCTAGAAATTGTTGACAAGTGTTGTAAGGATGATTTACTGGCGATAGCTGTGCGTTGTGACGTTCAGATACCTAAACAGTCCATTAAGAAAGACATTAGGAGTAAGGTCATTGTTAAGCTGAGGGAGTTAGGTGTTTTAGGAAGCCCCCCACCTGTTGATACTGTGGGTGAGAGTGATGTTGAGAAGGTGGTAACTCCTCTTGCTGGTGTATCTGGGGACCAAGCTGAGCAAGCTAAACCTTAACAGGATGTCTGAACAACCCTGCCTCGTTTGGCCCTTTTTCTCCTCTGTCTTCAGGTTCACTTGAGGAGGCTCGTGCCAAGGTGCTCATTACACATCTCCAATTGGAGGCTCAGGAAAAAGCACAAGCACAAAAAGCAGAGCTGTAATTTAAGTTGGTTGTCCAGAGGATGGAGCTTGAGGTTGATCGGGAGGTCTGGATGTGGGAATTAGAAATACAAGCAATGAAAATTGCTTCTGGACCCATTGCCCAGTCGGAGAACGCACTGCCAGCTCCTCCTTCTCCACTAGGGTCTTGCCCAGCATCTGCTCAGGTGGCTTCTGCCTCTCCACCTTCTGCTCTTAGCCCATCTGCATTTGATGTGAGTAAACACATTGCATTGGTTCCGCCTTTTCAGGAAGCTGAGGTGGATACTTATTTTGGTGTATTTGAATGCATTGCTACTGCTTTAAACTGGCCTAGAGAAGTCTGGTCTCTCTTACTGCAGTGCAGGCTGATGGGTAAGGCTCAGGAGGTTTGTCTGTCTTTGCCATTACGAGATAGTTTGCAGTATGATCTGGTTAAAGCTGCCGTACTGTGTGCATACGAGTACATACAGACAAAAATTTAGGACTCACAAGAAGAGCTCGTCTCTGATCTTTGTAGAGTTTGCCAGAGAAAAAGAGACCTTATTGGATAAATGGTGCATCGCTTGTAGAGTCTCTGATTTTGCTTCTCTGTTTGAACTAATTTTGTTAGAAGAGTTCAAAAACTGTTTACCTGAGCGTGTAGTTATTTACCTTAATGAGCGTCAGGTTTCATCTATGTCTGAAACAGCAGTTCTGGCTGATGAATATGTGCTAACGCGCAAGTCTGTTTATAAACCAGCTAAGGTAGAGTCTCCTGTGCTGTCGGAATGTCATCCTAAGTCGACACAGCCTGCATGTTCTCTTGACAAATGTTTTTACTGTCGCAAGCCTGGTCGTTTAATAGTTAATTGTACTGCATTAAAACGTAAACATGAAAAGCAAAACCACAGCACTGATCAGAACCAGAGTGTCGCTCTGGTAGACACACACGTCTCCGTTCCATCTGCAGTTATAACTAAAACTCCTGCCCCTCGCTACCAGCCTTTTATTACTGAGGCACGGTGTCTCTTGAGGGCAGTGAGCAGTTTCAGTGTCCTGGTGCAACTCAGTCATTTGTCTTAGCTGGAGTGTCGTCCTTTTCTGATGATACACTCTGTGGTTCATATGTGTTCTGCTGTGCCATTGCAATGAGATACATTAGAGTTCCTCTGCATCGTGTTTTGTTGTCCTCAAGTTTAGCCACTGGAGTGTTCAGAGTTGGGGTTTGTCCTTCACTGCCAGTTGAAGGAATTATGTTTATTATGGGGAATGACATTGCTGGGGACAAAGTTCTTCCAGTGTTGGAGGTTCTGGACAGTCCCAAAGCTAGTGAAGTCAGAAATTCATCCTACTGTGTTTTCATCATGTGTTGTCACTCGTGTTAAAGCTCAAAAGTTGGAGGATGTGATTGATTTGTCTGACTCGTTCTTAGCTAAGGACAGGTTTCCAGATCCTGATGTGCCCACTCCTCCATTAGTCTGTCCAAATGAGCCTGTGCTAAACAGAGTTACCGGAGATGTAGATGTTGGTAAGTTAGCTATCACTTGTGATCAGCTCATAAAGTCTCAGAAGGCAGACGAAGATTTAAATAAATCTTTTTCCGAGTTAAGCAGTGCAGAAAATCTGTGTTAAACAAGTTGCTTTTCTTTCTGGATCAGGGTGTATTAATACGGAAATGGTCTCTTTGTTCTAATACCGAAGCAGAAAGTGTTTACCAGATTGGGATACCTACTCCAATTAGACAACATGTTAGCACATGACCATCCTTGGTCAGGTCATCTGGGCATCACTAAGACATTTGTGTGTTCTTAAACATTTCTTCTGGCCTGGTCTTCATAAAGACATTGAGTTTTGTCGCTCTTGTCATGTTTGTCAGTGTGTAGGAAAGCCTAATCAGGTTATTCCTCCTGCTCCGCTTCATCCCATTCCTGACTTGGGAAACCCTTTGAAAGAGTGCTGATTGATTGTGTGGGTCCACTGCCTAAAACCAGATCTGCAAATCAGTACTTATTAACAATTATATGTGCTGCAATTCGCTTACCTGAAGTTTTTCCATTATGAAAGATTACAAACCCAATTGTAGTTGATAAAATACTTCACTACCTTTGGTTTACCAAGAATGGTACAAAGTGATCAGGGCACAAATTCCCTGTCCAAATTGTTCACAGGTCATGGCCACATTAAATATCACTCATCACGTCTCAAGTCCTTATCATCCTGAGTCCCAGGCTGCATTAGAACGATTTCAGTCATTAAAATCTATGCTTCGTAAATACTGCTAAGACACTGGGAAAGACTGGGATGAGGGTGGACCCCTTGTGCTCTTTGCTGTTTGTGAGGCTGTTCAGGAATCTCTAGGATTCAGCCCTGCTCAATTAGTATTCGCTCACTCAGTGCGTGGCCCTTTAAAAGTCCTCAGAGACATTTTTAACTGGGAATCGCAAACCTCAGAACATACTGGATTATGTCAGTACTTTTCATCAGTGTTTACATAAAGCTTGCAGTCCAGCTCGGGAAACCGTAAGTGTCTCAAGATCAAATTAAATTTTCTTATGACAAAAATGCAGCAGCTAGGCAGTTTGAGCCAGGTGATAAAGTATTGGTTTTGCTCCCCATCCCTGGTTCATCACTGTCGAGCGTAACAATCACAGGTTAATTGAGGCGTGGTAGTGTGATGTGCATGTCTTGGCTTTCATGTTTTTGTACTTTAGGTCCCGCTATTTTCCACAGCCGTCGATCACTTTGTAACTAAAAAAATCACATTCACAGTTCAGTTTAGCCATGTTTGTGCAAACTTTAATTCATATTGCCCCTTCATAAACATTCTAGTGCTCGTGACTGTTTTCCCGATTTAACGTCTTATTTGATGTCTCATATTAAACCAGACATGATAGTTATTGTCCATTTCAGTGCTGGAAAAAAATTTTGAAGTATTTTTTCCTATATTTTTGTTTGTTTTAATATTTTTTTAGCTAAGAGTTGGTATACAGAAATAACAGAAATCTATGAATATTTAAAAAAAAAATAAGCCTTTGGCTTATGCCACCCGCTGGATGGTTTCCATAGAGAGCCATGTGGTGACCGAGGGAGAATCATTCATGCTGGGGTTTGCCACTCTTTTTTCCAGTTTCTACAACTTCAACCTCCAGTACCAGGATAGGGCTTGCTGCACATTGGAGTTCATCCAAAGGTACAGTATATTGGTAAATAGGATAATCAATTGTCATGTGTACCCTGAGCCATTACGGACGTAGGAAGTCCTCCCACTTGCGTTTCTTTCGTCTTTTAAAATGCAAAGCACCTGAACCTTTATCAAAACTAACTTGGTCATATTAAGTCGTTCATTGTGCCATCGTTTAACATATAGAAGTCTCGCTTCTTTGCAATCTTTAATCTTTTTTTTTCTTCCTCCAAAATGCTCTCTGTGGAGTTCATTTTACTGCCAGAAGTTTCAAATAAAATACTAAACATTTTGTATGTGGTTTTCATCAAACTGTCCAATATACATTGCAAATAATGACAGTTCAAACTGATCAAACTGAATTTATAAAGAAAGATGCCTCTGAAATCTTTATTTTGCCTCTGACATTTGGCACTTTTTAACAGAGGGCAGATCGTGGAAGAGGTCTACTGATCTACTGGTCAACTGATTTGGAGCGATGGGTCTTCTTAACACATTTACTGAGTATAGTATTGTCAAAGAGGATTGCACTGGCATGTTGAACATTTATGAGCAAAATTTGTCATGTTTATTCATGTAACGCATGCTAAGGAAACTGTATCGCAGCGTATTCTTTTTTTTTTTCAAATTAAAATGAA